GGCTCTTTATCTGAAATAATGTTTCTCAGATCAAGTGATAAGTATCTGATAATCATAGAAACAATAAGTTGGAAAACATGGAATCAATCATCAGATATTCAGAAAGTAAGATGAACTTACTTGATCGATGTCTTGATCGATAAAGCTTTGATCGATTATATTATCGATTAATTACATGAAGAAAAGATATAGCAAATAGATGCAATTATCGAATAGATTATGGATCATATGATAATCGAACAAATGATCGATAAATGATGAAGCATGAATACAGTGACCCAAAAATGATTTATGCAAGAATAAACCTTTTCAAGTTATGTTTGCCTTCGTATCCTTTTAATAGAGAGTTATGTGTAAAAAGAAGGCTGAGAAAAGCTTTAAAGAAAATAGATCATTGATTTTAAGAATCATCATAGTCGACTGATGTTTAAACGGAAAACGTTCCATGATCGAACAAGTGATCGAACATTTGTTGATCGAACAGATTATCGATAATCCAAGTGTTACAAAAATGAAACTTCAGTCATTGATGATCGAACAAATTATTGATAAATGGATGGTGGATAAGGTTATCGATAAACAAAGTGTTATAGAATAGAATTTTAAGTAATGATTTTCCGAACACATTATCGATAAACAAATAATAGATAACCTTATCGATAAACAATAAGCAAAAGTATATTCGGAGAAAACACATACTATGTAGGTTGATCGAATAGGTGATCGATTAATGAGTGATCGATAAAGTTATCGATAAAGTAAAACAAGGAGATTTAATCCTGTAAATTCAAAGAACTGATTTATCGATCACGTTACGTGAAAAACAGGGTAGACATGTAAGAGCAATGATCAATCATATTATCGATAAATGACTGATCGATGAGGTAATCGATAAATGGAGACTAAAGCAAAACATAGAATGAGTAGAACGCATTACCATTTATCTGTCTTCTCATCGATAATCTATTTATCGATCATGCTATCGATAAATGCCTATTTATCCATAACGTTAACTTTGTTTATCGATCAAGTGATCGATAAATACATCTATCCATAATGTTATCCGAAAACCATTTATCCAATAGGTTATAAAACCTCAATAATGCATATGAAGATAAAAGAGAAGAATTAAAGAGATAGTACCAGGAACTCGATAAAATGATCGAATATGTAGTTGCTTGATCAGGCTCAAGTAACATCTGATAATGACTTTTCATTTCCTCATTTCTTCTAGTGCTTTTACTCAATAACATGTTTGAGTAGTATGTTGTTTAAGAGATTAATCAATCAATGTAGAACTTCTGGTCTTTGCCTCAATAAATTCGAAGTCTGATTCAAGCAGAACGAAGGTCAACTTTGAGTGATCATAACTCTTCCAATTCAACTCCAAATTTTGCAAATGACCTATCCCCAGAAATCTCTTTGAGTCTACTTTCTAATGCAACAAAAATCACCCCAAAATTCGTTGTGGTTGCAAAGTTATCTTCATCACAATGACTAAAGGTCGGAATAAAGGCGTTAATCCTTACTGCAATCTTTCGAACAACATATCTCCCTCATATGAAACTATTTGAAGGTGAATTTGGTGTCCATGAACCGTGTTCTGAGTCTAGTTTCATAGGAATCAAGTTTCACCTCAAACGGATTTGTGATTTGAGAGATATTGAAGAAATACCAAACCTATGTCAGAGCTGAACGAAGAACAGAGCATAACAGAGGATGTATTTTATCGATAACTTGATCGATAAATGGATGATCGATCAAGTGATCGATAATTGCCCATGAAAATCACCTCTGAAGCTTATTTTCCATGTTTATATGAAGGGTGACTCAATATATGATGGTATAACTTCCCGGTTGTATATTTTAGCTTCCGACTGAGCCATCCAAACTTCTGATTGAGTATAGCAACATTTAACATCAAATCTATGAACTTGAATCTTGATATTTTCATTTGATCTTGCAAGTTCTTCTTTTCTCAATCTCTCTTCTTCTTCTTCCTCTTGATCATTCTCCATAACTCAAAGTGCAACATAATAACTCCTTTCTTTTCTTGAAGAAACTACACAAGATATTAAGTCTGATAGTTAGTCAAAATATGAGGTAAATAATTTATGCAAACTTTTTGCTCTATTATTTGACATCATCAAAACTAATCATATCTAACATTAATAAGAGTAATTTAAAAAAATTAAAAATTTTAAAAAAAATATTATATTTAAAATTAAAATTAACTCAATAATTAAGTTTTATATTAAAGAGTAGGGAAGTAAATCATTATACATTTTTTTGGAACTTTTAAAAATTTATATATATTAAATAGGAAATAAATTGAAAAGTGGTTTTTTTGAACTTTTTGTTTCGACCAACGGCCAACAGTCTATGATAGATGGGGACGGGAGGATATCGAAGTGCGTGAATCGGTGAATGCGGTGTGAAGAAAAGAAGGCTACGTGCCTCCATGAGAGAGATCAAGAGCACCACGTGGGCCCGGCGTCGTTGTTCGTTGAGGAGGCGAAAACGACGGCGTTCGACTTCGAACCCGTTCAAACTTAGTAACCATAGCAAAGTCCTCAATTTCTGCCACCAGCTGTAAAAGGCACGCTCCCCTTTCAGAACCCGACGTCCCTCTCTCTCTCTCTCTCTGGGTCTTTTTTCCAATTTTGACCAACGACGTCCTTTTCTATCTTTCTCGTATCAGAAAAGATGACGTCCTCTTTGATTTTTTAGGTTGTTAGAATGCTTACTCGACGTTATTATTTACGAGTATATAATTTTCAAAACCTCATTTAATATTCAGAATTTATTGTCCTCCTCTTTCTACTCTCATTTATTGGTCTATTGTTTTCATTCATTTAAATTTTTAGAAAAATAATGCGTTGAATAGAAGTTTTTTCAAAAATAATTAATGTGATAAACACATGTCGACAACATCTTATATTAAGATACTTACATATTACTCCTAGTACTGTACTCCCTCCGTTCCTTATTATAAGAGACAAATAACCGAAATACGTTGATAAAAAAAACAGTTAAAATTAGTTAAGAACAATTAATGTGTAAAAAGTATAATTTTTTTTTTCCAAAAATGCCCTCATTAATAAGGAGAGAGAGCATGAGAGATAACAATTAAATTATTAACAGAAAGAGAAGTGGGAGGGAGAGAGAGTGTGAGTTGGAGATAATAAATATGGGTAAAATAGTAAATCAATACAAAAAGGTAGAGACAACTTGTAAGTGTCTCTTATATATAGGAACATGCCATAAGCATCAAATGTCTCTTATAATAAGGAACGGAGGGAGTACTATCTATCAGCAAATGCCAACAATGAGAGTTAAACACATTTTGTGGGATTTGTGTTGCATAAGAAAGTCATTTGGTTGGCCGGATATGATTTCACAGTTTTTATGGGGATTTATCTTAGCCTATACAGACTTAACATATAGGAGTCCGCCTCAGTTAACTTTTAACTGTAAAACCATGTGCCCATTAATAATGGAACACGTGGTTTAATTTTGGGGCCAGGGGAGCGCATCACATGGATTGTTCTTTGTTCCTGAAGACAAGTTTTATTAAATAAAGATTAAAATTTTGATTCCAGACAATTCGCTATAAATCTTAATTTAATTTAAGACGACTAGATTTAAACTCTGAATTAAAAATGATTTATCTGAGGAACCTTAGATTACAAATTATTATGACAGAATAATATGAATAAATTTAACTTAAAGTTTCGGATCATAATTCTTGGTATATTTTATTATGCACACCCAAAAACATGAATTTGAAATCAAATCAAAGTGATGGCGTTAAAAGATACTACGAGTAATTTTTATTTATCATCTCCGCTCATTCTTCACAGTAGCGGTTTTTTTTTTTTTTTGAAAAATGGCGAATGCATTTTGTCGTAAGGAAATGCGTTTTATTATGACTTGTCAATATCAACATGGTAGAAAAAAATTGGTCAGGTTCAAAACTTTCTGATAAAAAAAAATGGTAAAATTTTATGGAAGCTAAATATATACGTTAACAAAATACTACCTCCGGTACTAATTATAAGAGCCAGTTAACTAATTTGATGAGATTAAAGAAGTAAATTGAGTTATTTATTTGTTCTAAATAGGTATTGTCTTTCCTAAAATATCCTTACTAATCAAGTGTATTGACTAGAACTATTATTGTTAAAAAGGCTATTTTGAAAAAAAAAAATATAAATATGAGAGACAAAGTGGATTGAGGTCTTATTTAGGACTAAAATAAAAGTCAAATAGAGTCTTATATTAACGATTGGAGGTAGTACATTTTATTTTAACTTCTTAGTTGTCAACATGGAAGAAAAATTTGCCGAGTTCAAACTCTTCTAATTAAAAAAAAAACAAAGAGATAGTCATGAAATTTTGTGGAAATTAAATTCCAACATCAGTATGATGTCGCTAGCAAAAGAAAATACTAGTATACCAGTATGATGTCAAATTATCAATCATAGGACGTTTGCCCGTGTGCAAACTCCCTCTAAACAAAAGAAAATAAAATAAGATGTGTTAGCGGTCAAAGTATACTCTTTTCGTCATAAAAACGAATCATGACTATGATTCATGAATCATGCTGCGTACTATTCCTATTAATCTACTCCTCCGGTCCTAATTATAAGACCCAATTGACTTATTTGAGGAGATTAAGGAAGTAAGTTAAGTTGGTTATTTATAATAAATAAGTATTGTCATTTCTAAAATATCCTTGCTAATTAAGTATATTGGCTAAAACTATCATTATTAGAAGGATTATCTTGGAAAAAATGCATAAATATAAGAGACAAAATGAATTGGGTCTTATAATTAGAACCAAATAAAAAGTCAAATTGGGTCTTATAATAAGAACTGGAGGAGTATTATCATACAAGTCTTCGTGGGAGACGCAGGACTCCAAAGTCAACTTTCTCTCTCAGGCTCTCTCGCCCTCATATTTCTTTATTATTGTATTCACCGTGTTGGCTTCATGTCATATACAAACAATAGCCCGAATCTTCAGTGTCCGTGATTCCATGGGACGCTTCTGATTTCACACGGCAGAAAAATAGAAGTTGTTTATAGATAATCCCAGAGGACTCCCTTATCCTTAGGCATTCATTGACCTGAATTCATAGAGAACCCTGAATATTCCCCTGATTATGCCATTGCCATTGTAAATTGCATTCTATTAGTCTGCTATTATATATATAGAAGAGACCCGTGAAAGAGGAAGGCGTCGAGATTGATTGATGGTAGTGGTAGGTACCTCGATTCGTAGAGGTTTAGAATTCGATAAGATGCGTCTTCTAGGTTTTCGATGTTTTGCTGCAGTAGCTCTGCTGTTTGGTTTGTTTCTGAATATGCCTGTGATGTGCAATGGCGGCAAGACTAGCACCTTCGTCAGGAAAGCTGAGAAGACTGTTGACATGCCGCTGGACAGCGATGTTTTCAAAGTACCTTCAGGTTATAATGCTCCCCAACAGGTAACTCGGTGTCCCTTTTAACGTTAGCCAAGTAGTTTTTCTTTTCTGATTGTCTAAGAAAAGATGAAGCAAAGCCTTCTTTTCTGCCATTTTCCTGTTTGGTTTTCTCTCTGTTTCAATCTCAATTTTTCGCTTGATGTGGATTTTAATGTGTGGTTGATCTGGATTTTAGGTTCATATAACACAAGGTGATCTTGTGGGAGAGGCAGTGATTGTATCCTGGGTGACAGAGGATGAACCAGGGTCAAGTGTAGTGCGTTACTGGAGTGAGAAGAGCAAGGAAAAGAAGGTGGCCAAGGGCAAACATACCACATATAGATACTTCAATTACACGTCTGGTTTTATCCATCACTGTACGGTTAGAGATTTGGAGGTGAGACTCTAATTGCTCAGCACCATAACTCCAATTCGATTATGCGAAGCTTGAAGCTTCCATGTGAGAAGATATAGATGTTTCTTTTAACGAATCAATGTACTTCTTGGGCAGTTCAACACCAAATATTACTATGAGGTTGGAATTGGGTTCACAAAGAGGCAGTTCTGGTTTATAACTCCTCCTGAAGTTGGCCCGGATGTGCCATACACATTTGGTCTAATAGGTAAGTTTGTTATATAAGCATATCCGGTATTACTCTGTAGTTCATGGATCACAGGTTGATATTATGTTGCGAGCATTTGAACATATATCTCTTGTCTCAGAGTAGCTCTCTTTGATCTTTCACATGCATTTTGTAATGGGTGGTCTAGTGGACAGGGAACGAGTAATTAGCAGAAAGTTTTGGGTATAAGATTTTATTGCATCAAGTACCAAAGGAAATGATCCCAGTGTTGTAGGAATGACCAACAAAACAAGTTTCGACAGTCTCGTCAAGATTTAGATCTCCTTAAACTGGTGGTTTGGACTTTTGTGGCCGGTGACACTCTTTGAACGCGCCAACTTCTGGAACAATATGAAGTGTGTCCGTAGTTGTTTGTGATTAACTAATGGAAAATTGGTTGCAGGGGATCTTGGTCAGAGTTTTGATTCAAATAAGACGCTTACGCACTATGAAAAGAACCCTAGAAAAGGACAAACTGTGCTGTTTGTGGGAGACCTCTCTTATGCTGATAACTACCCAAATCACGATAACGTTAGGTGGGATACATGGGGAAGGTTCACAGAAAGAAGTACTGCTTATCAACCTTGGATATGGACAGCAGGGAACCATGAAATTGACTTTGCTCCAGAGATTGTGAGCTTCTCATATGAACTCACTGGAGACAATCTCTCTCTCTCTTTTTTTTGTTGTCATTATTACTTCTTCAACGCTATTGTTCTTCATCAAAAATAAAAAAGAACCCGTGTTGTTGATTTATTGCAGGGAGAAAACATACCATTCAAGCCTTATACCCACCGTTACCATGTTCCTTACAGAGCATCAAAGAGTACTAAACCCTTCTGGTATTCTATCAAGAGAGCTTCGGCGTATATCATTGTCTTGGCCTCATACTCAGCATACGGTAATTCTATATGGCGTAATACCCAATGATTATGAAGACTTGCTGACTGATGCTATGATTTTCATATGCACAATGGTGCCTATAATCCATGTCAAGTTATACTGTTTTTTCTTATTCCCCACTTTTTCTTTGGTGTCAATGCTTGGATCAAGTGTTTACATGAGAATGTAATGCCCGTGCTTTTAAAGTGGATTCTATTATCAGTATAATGTTCTTTACTTTTTCAGGAAAATACACTCCCCAGTACCAATGGCTTGAGGCAGAGCTACCAAAAGTTAACAGGACAGAGACTCCTTGGTTGATTGTTCTCTTGCATTCTCCTTGGTATAACAGCTACAATTATCATTTTATGGAAGGGGAAAGCATGAGAGTGATGTATGAGCCCTGGTTCGTGAAGTACAAGGTTGATGTTGTGTTTGCTGGTCATGTCCATGCCTATGAGAGATCAGTAAGAGCTAGCCCTCTATCAAGCTGTTTCCATTTTCCTGTATATAGTCTTGATTCAGGTGTAATTGGTGTAGTGTTACTCTCAAGCTACTTATTCCTTTATTTTCTCTCTTGAAATCTCCGCAACATGCTTCTGAGGAAAAGTATTAAGATGATGATTCACTACGCTTGCCTTCAAACCTTTTCCGGTCCCAACAAGGAGTTGGTCTAAATTTTACAGGCGAGCATTTCATGTGTTGTTGTTCGGCATCCTCCCACAAGTTGAATCTTTATATTGACAGTTTCCTGGGACCAGGCTGAAAGGAATTTCCTTTTGAATTCCTTAGTCAGGGCATAGATGATCTCGATGTATCAGTTGGAGTGCGTGCAAACTGGTCCAAATACCAAAAAAAAAAAAAACCTTCCCATCATCATCAAACAAGCAATGAGCAATGCCCTTACAAAAACCTCTGTTTTTTTTTTTTTTTGCATCTGTTGATCATTGATTATTGTCTGTATCAGGAACGCGTTTCGAATGTGGCATACAACGTTGTAAATGGTCAGTGCACTCCTGTAAAGGATCAGTCGGCTCCTGTGTATATAACCATTGGTGATGGAGGAAACCTTGAAGGCTTGGCAACCAAGTAAGCTATCCACTGTGGATTTCTTTCCTCTATGTGATATTAGGCTGATTCATTTCATAATGGCAATTCGTTGTGCAGCATGACAGAACCACAACCAGAATACTCTGCATATAGAGAGGCCAGTTTTGGGCACGCCATTTTTGACATCAAGAACCGAACTCATGCTCACTACAGCTGGCACCGGAACCAAGATGGGTATTCTGTGGAGGCTGATTCCATGTGGTTTCTTAACAGATTTTGGCACCCAGTTGATGACTCCACAAGCCACCCCCCGAATTAATATATATATATATATATATATATATCCGTTCACTGTGTCTTTTACCACTGCAATAATGGCAATGATAATCCTGGTCAGTTAGATTGAAATGTGTGGCCATGCCAATCTCAGCTTTCAGCACCCCATTTATTCTACTTTGCATTTTTCTCACATGAGAATGAATACGTGTGGCTTGCTTCTATTGTCAAGGACTGGCCAAAATTAAATCTCAAGCAGTCATACTCTTGCTTTTGCCGCCCTGGAGAAGGAGATATCTCTATAGCTTTTTGATGCTATTTTTCCCATAAATTTTTTTTTTTTTGGTTTTTCTGTGAATCAACTCTGCTTTCAAAACCATTTCATCACGAAGTAAAGAAACATGGAGGAAAAATAATCTACAGGTTTTTATAATTTACTCCCTCCATTTGAAAATCATATCCTCCGATGAGAATGTGAGAGAAGATATATTAAATGAAATAAAAGAAAATTAAGTGAGAGTAAGTAGTTCAAAATTTCTTAATCTACATGTATTAACCTTAAAACATTAATGGTTTTGTTTTTTTTTACAAAAAACATCAGCGGTTGTTTTTTTGCACAAAAAACATTAGCGGCTTTGAAACGGAAAGATCACAACAATGGTCATTGTATGCTTGAATAAACTCGTTTTATATAAAAAATAGTAGTATTTGAGATAAACTTGTTGAGATCAGAAACAATTTTGCCTTCTTCTCAATATAATTAAGCATTCGATGTGGGTTAGGTTTCGTTGGGCTAAATTTTTTAATGTGTTCTAATTCATAATGTTCAAATTTTGTACCTTATTTGAAGAAATTAGGTTCTTTCTATCCAACCCATGGTAAGTTTTAAAAAATAACAATAATTGTAAGATATTTAATTTAAATTGTTAGTTTATGACAAAAAAACCATAAAACTCTGTAAATAGCTATTAAGGACCGGAGGTAGTATAAATAATGAGGCTTGCTAGAGTTTATAATAGTACTATGAACATATATAAATGATAAATTTCCAGAACATCAGATTTATCATTTTCTTTTTTTGGTTGCCCACCCAGTTCACCGGAGTTTTGCTCCGACTACATCTGGATTCGACCCGCGTCGCGCACCTGGCTGTGGTGGGTGAGTCTCCCAACGGGGATTTCTGTATACGCTGAGGCTCGAACTCAAGACCTCGCTTAAACGGTACCAAGCCACTTACCACTTGGACCAACTCCCATTGGTAGATTTATCATTTTCGTTTGAAAATAGTTGGGGCTAATCCCAAATGCAATACTTAGCCCAAAATAGTGGCCCAAAAGCAGAACCTCACTTGGAAACGCGGCGGGATATCAAAATGTCAACTGGCTGACCCAAAATGAAATGTCAATCGTAAGTCGTAACATTACCCGTCGGGATTGGCCATGCCCTGCCCCCAAGTGAAATGACGTAGTTATTAGTGATTCTCCAGCTTTGTGATTAAATACGATTATACGAACAGAATCCGCATTTCCATTTTCTCTTTCAATCTAATTTCCTTGTCGTTTTTTTTTTTTGGTGCTTCGATTTCTCCATCGATCACTTGGAGGGAGGTTCTAGGCTTGGCCAGCGTCCTCCGATGAAGACTTCATAGAATGGCGCAACAGAGCGGTGAAGATGAGAAGAAGAAGAAGATTTATACAGATCCAGAGCTATTCTGCTGCGTTTTTCAGCCCGTGACCTCTGACGCTGATGCTCAGTACATCGGCATTCGGCGCCTTCTTCTTCACCGGAAGGCTGTGGCCGGCGTTGTCCGCCGTATAGTATGTTTCGACCTTCACTGTTTTCGAGCTTGGATAGTTTCAGAATTGTATTTTGTTTACTAGTATCTATGTTTTGGATCCGCATTTGTTGGTATGTGGATCTATTGAATGAATCAAAATTGGAATACTAAGATTCAGGAGAGCGCTACTAGCTAGTAGCAGTAGAAATCTCGACATTCTCCTAATTAACTAAATGTATTAGCATTTCAAAATTTAGCTCATTAGGGATCATAGCTTGTTTATTTATTCATTTTTTTTTTTGAATCGATCGTAGTTTTCCCTGTTCCTGCTTTTAATGTATATATTTTCTGCTTGGCATTGTTTTGAAATTATTGATGATACGAAATTTACTCTGTTAACTGCTAAAGCAAGATCTACATCTTCTATTTGGCCTTCTTCGGGGCGACATGGTTCATTTTCATTTTTTTTTTTTTCACTAATCTGCTGAGCTTTATGCGTAAACTTATTCACGTATTTCTGTTGAAGGACTGGAGAAGCAACCAGAAAGGTTATGTGGCCTACCGTAATTACATATCTAGGCCAAGGGATTGGGAAAGTTCACAAGCCCCTAGCCTCCAAGCCACTCCTGGAAACAGGTTGCTGAACTTACTGAGCATTTAATATGTTCAATTTGTGCATTTATTGCAAGATGATAAACAAAATTGATTTTCTTTGTTTTTTTTTTTTTTTCCACTTGCAAAGAAACTAGGGATCTCTTTTGAGTTGACGCATCCTTTGCTTTGTTTCCCTTCTCTTTTACTTTAGACTATTTGCGGAAAATACGTTACCCTTCAACATTTAACTTTGCTTCCTTCTAATAAAAGACATCTTATGTAAGAAAATATTCTTTCCCATAACTTTTTTCCCTTGTCACCATCTTCTGGTATTCATCCTTTCCCGTATTTCTTGTCATCTATATCTTTCTGTTTGTTTTAGTTCTAGCAACAACTTTGGTCAAAACTTGTCTGAATTTTATGATGATGCAGCTTTCTCATTTGTGTGTGCTAGTTTAAATTTATTTTTCCATATAATTCTCTGACGTCAGGATAATTTACTGGTTGATGCATCAGTGGCCGCTGGATTCTACCTCCTAGTCCACACTCCCGTTGGTCTGAGGTGGACAGCTTAAGTTCTGTTCGGGTATGTGTGGTTTCATGTCAATTTTCTTCCTAGATTATTGTGCCTGTTGCACTATGATACATATTGCCATGCATAAATCATTTCTTAGGGTGAAACTGAGAAATGTTTCCCTACCTTTTTGTTTGCGCATTTCTCTACACTTGATGGGGAATGAGACTTGCGCAGGCCATCTCAATGCCATATTGCGGCATGCTGTGTCTGATAAAATTCTGAACAGATTCATTGATTCAATTAAATTTAAAATAGAGCCCTTGTGTTGTTATCGGAGTGTTACATTCATATCTCAGTAGGAGATCATAATCATTCAAAACACACTCATGAATAATGTAGTTGCAAGGCCATATGTTGTTGGCCTGGTTTGAGCATGCTGTCTTTAATGATGTGCAGCCCACACTTTGGCTGGGCCACGAGGCATGCAACACATTAGGCTCCCTTGGCTAGTTTGGGTATTTGTTCTATCAAGAATGAGAGAATTGGAGAAGTATCAAACCTAGCATTATGTTAATAAATTAGATATTATAGGAAAACAGAAAAATAAAGACTGGATTCATTAGAACGGAAATTGTAGAGTAGGGTGTATTATTTGTTCAAGAAATTAAGATTTGAGTGAATGGTCATTTTTTTATATCCCACAAAAAAAAAAAAAAAAGAAATTAAGGTTGTTAGTATATTAAATCAAGCAATAAATAGCAACTAAGTTATTTCACAAAAGAGTGTTGAAACCAAAAAACCAAAAATCAGAAGATCGTGAGACAAAACGCAGAGTTGAAGATGACTATTCTATCATCAGCTAAGCCTATAAACCAAATGTAACTTACATGTAACCTTATATGATATAAAACGTATGACTCTGTTTTGCAAACATGCCCTTTGCTGAAAATAGAAGTGCAAAAGTTGAAGTATTTTTTATCTTAAAGACGTCAGCTTCCTAGATCTTGGTAAATTCATGTGAACTTTCTGTTTTCAAAATTGCGCATAAAACAAGGGTGTAATGGTATAATAACAATGTTTTACACGAAAATTGTTTATTATTGGAGATTTTGTGTTTTTGCTTTTAAGGAATGCGGTAAAAATGGAGCCTGGTTGAATTTCTTAAATAGGTGCTCTTACAACTTTGCTCATATGCAGTGAATGCTGGCTTAATTTGCTTGATTATTTATTCTTTCCCTGCGCCATGTGTCAATTCAGTGTATTTTCTTCCATTGTAGGATCTACAAAGTGCCAATCCACTATCTAGTCACAGAACAAGTTTTGGCTCAAGTTTAGGTGATAATGATCGTCCACGTCAGAGAGGTGTTGAGCCTGCCTATTCTTTTGTAGGAATGCATTGCGTCTTTGATCAAAGCAAAGCCTCTGGTACTACAGACTTTCCACTCCCATGTCACTGTTACTGATACAGAAGTCTTTTTTTCCTTGAAAGTAATCATTCAATATTAAATGTGTAGTTACCGTTTTGAAGTTTGGGCACATGAGATCTGATCTTCTTGCTTATGGGGCATCAGATGGTACCTTGACCGTATGCACTGTCTCTGAGGAACCCTCAATCCTCAAACAATTACATGGTCATTCCAAAGATGTTACAGGTTGGATAGACTGGTATTGATTCTGTGGTCTTTGCTTATATCCTACACAAGATATATGACATTATCACCCAATGCATTAATTTTTACCAGGACACATTACCAGAGTTAATCTGCAGTATATTGTTTGCTGAAGAGTTACCATCCTTGAGAAAAGAAAGTTACATGCCTGTCAATCAGAATTTTAGGAATGTATGAGTTAATAACATTACAGTGTGGCTACAGTAGGCTACCAGTATTAAGCATATTGTATCGTCACATTGTTTTGTGTTACGCAATCCACAGTATGCTAAAGCCTTTAGAGTATTAGATTGCCCAATTTTGATATTCTGCTTCTGATGTTAACTTTTATCATAAAAATATTTTACCAATGCTCTCTTCTAATGCTGGCTTATTTTCAGATTTTGATTTTTCATCAAACAATCAGTATATTGCATCATCTTCATTGGATAAAACTGTAAGAGTATGGGAGATAGCTAAAGGAATTTGCATACGGGTGATATATGGAGTTTCTTCTCAATTGTGTATTCGTTTTCATCCTGTAAGTGCAACTTACATGTGTGTGCATATATGTGTGTGTAAGGGAATGCTATTCTTCTAAGCTCTATGGAGAGGACAGTGTGGTCACTTTTTTATGGTGGAGCAAAATTCTCTCTCTCCTTAGTTTGGAAAAGAACTTGAGGATGCTAGATATTATGGTATTGTGTCCTCAAATCATTCTCCATTCCAAATGAACTTGAAAAAAGTGGAAAGCCTAAGCCTTACTGTGGACAAGGATATCTTTTATTGGTGATTTTAAATCTCTCATCTAATAGTTTGACAAGGGACGAATATGTTTACTGGGATATTGTTTGGAGGAAGTATTGACTACCTAAACGTCTGCATTATGGTCCCTGTTAAAGAAGTGTTGACTGCCTCAAAATGCAGTGGGACTATTTTGATGGTTTAGCATGCACTTACATATCTTTTGCAATACTTTTTTTCTTTTCTTTTATCTATGGTTGCTACTTGAGGCTGAGTTTTTTATGTGGTGCAGGTAAATAACAACTTTCTTTCAGTTGGCAATGCAAACAAAGAAATCAATGTAATCACTTTTCACTTTTTCCTGCTGTTGAAGAAGTACAGTAATATATCTTACAGTACCTTTACTACAATTCTTTTACTGAATCATGTTGATCTTTGTCATTTCCATCTTTTATCTGTAAGATCTGATGTCATTGAATCATGGCACAGTAGGATTTGCTATATATTCATAAAATGCAGAGCAAATGATTGTTGTGCTTGGTTAAGTACAAAGATTGGTCTTTACTGAAAACAGGAACTATGCTATGTTTTAATCTACTCTCATGCATACGCTTTCCTTGAAATGTTATTTGGAGACAATTTGCTGAAAAATACACTGGTGCCTTGGCTTCTTTTTATATTTTTTGAACACAATCCTGATTCTATGTATTTCTATAACCTTGTGATTGAGTCAACTGTGGGGTATAATTACAATGACACACTTAAAGAGGTGGCGAGGAAGATAATGTTGCTTTGGCCACTGGAATATGAGTAATACAATGACAGTTGACTGGATCATGTACTGCATTGCTCCCATCATCTTACCCTACCCTATGAATATTATTGTTTACTATTGCACATACAACTCTCCCGCTCTCCCTCCCTACGTGCAACCAACCCCCCCCCCCCCAAAAAAAAGCTACCAAGTTTTCCCATTTTTAGTGATCTTACCAGTTTGATGAAGTATATACTAATTCATTTTTCTTAAAATTAATTTATGTGCCACGTGGTATATTGTACTAATTCATTTTTCTTCAAATATTTATTTGCCAGGTGTTCAATTTCAGTACGGGAAGGATAATTAATAAAACAGTATTGGACAGTGAAGTTACCTCCATGGACCATGATCATACAGGAAATCTGATATTTTGTGGGGATGGACAGGTGAGCAGCTATACATGCAAGTTTATATTCCTACTAGTCGGTTTAATCTCTATTTTTTCATTCTAGGCCTGTGGATTCAGGGCTGCGTATACTCAGTAACTATGAACTCCCACACTGGGGTCTTATCCCGATCTCATCGTCATCGGAGTGGCACTTGGCACAAATCGCCCGTCACGACCGTGCAGTATAGAAGTTTCTCTCTTCTGGCTGGAGGACCAGTGTTGCTTGCATGTGCTCAGGACGGAAATCTG